GTTGCATTGCTATTATTGAATATTGATTCTTAAATTTTTAAGAGAAATTTTAAAAAATGCCACTTTCCAAGTGCAATTTTACAAAAATGCCACATTATTGAAATCTTTACAAAAATATCACTTTTTTAAAATTATTTTTTCATTATATAATTTATGTTTGGGTTAACTATGTTATATTAGGGTTTAGTTTTGAGTGTTTAGGGGGTTTAGGTGTCAAAACATTTTTTAGAGTTTAGAATTTTAAGATATAGGTTTTATAAATATATAATTAGTGGCATTTTTGTAAATGAACACCTCTAAATGGCATTTTTGCAAATGTGCACACAAAAAATGGCATTTTTGTAATTACCCCAGTTTTTAAATGAATTCACGTAAATTAGCCTTTCCTTTAAATGTGTTTTCGTTTGTTTTGCATAGGGGTCAAGAATTCTCTTAAATGGGGGTCAATATAATTGTTTATAAACAACGTATAATATTTTCCTAAATTTTGTAATAATTGACCTTATGTCTCACGTAACTCCGCCACTGGTTGTATGTATTTCCAGGAATTAGAGAAAACAGGAATCTGAAGTCTGGTCTAGATGCAATGTTTAGTATGATTTGGAGGAGAGAATCGCAAAGGGTCATAATGGTGAGACTTTTGAGGAAGATTTGGTTGCTTTGTTGGTTGAATCTTTGGATACTCTGACTTCAACAAAGAAAATGCTATTTCTATGCTATAGACAGGCTCTATGCATCTTAAAATTACTCATTATTTATATTTACCTTTAAGTTATTGGTTTAGAGCATCAAAGTTACGATGATGAACCTCCACCAATTCCTGGCTCTAGTATGGGGATGACAAAGTTCGTGAGGAGATGGGTTAGATGTGGAGTAGCACGAACTCTATGCTGAAAGTTCTCTTGGACACCAACAAACATGAACACAGTGGCCAACGAGACAAGTGCGTAGCCAAGATCTCCCACTTCCATCCCGTTACTCATTTTACATCGCGTAACCAACTCTTTATGAGCATATTCCACACAGTAGCAGGAGTCTTCAAAAGTATTCCTCTCCCTTCTTTCTTTGTAGGAGCCATAGTAGATTTCCTTTCCTTTGCAATCCCATAAATTAAAAAAAAAAACAACCAACAGATGGGACCAAGAACTGACTCGGTATGTCATTAGATTCCCAATCGCCGGAGGAGGGAGCATACAGTTGAACTCACGCATCTCTTCCCTTGCGGCTCCTTCTCCTTTTGCAGTAAACTGAAATACATTTGCAATATAACCCCCATAGCAATTATGTTCATTCATTTTACTCCATTCTGATCCAAGCCGAAGTGGGTTGACATGGTAACAGAGATACTACATACACAATGGTAAATATTTTGTCACCATTTTGAATTGAACAAGTTTTGCGCTGGCCAAATCTCCCCCATAATATATCCAACAAAGCGAGTGGCTCAGCTAGTCTCTAATGGGACCGGTGTTTGTCGTCCAAGAGGCAAAAGTAAATCGATGTTCATAAAATAAATGTGTCAAAGCATCATGAACAATGGTTTCTCCTATAGAGTTTCTACAAAAC